GTGTCCTAAAGATGTACCCAATTAACCTTGTGAAGCCTTTTCTCCAGTGCCACCCTATTGTTTCCTTAGAAAAGCCCTCTTGAAGGATTCCGTTTTGCTTAGTCTGTGGAGAGGCAGGCGAGTGGGGGCCTTCCTGACCCCCTCAGGCAGACAGTTTGTGGGGGCCAGAAGGGAGAAGGCCCCTGTCCAGGCCAGCCAGCGGAGGGACTGCAGAAGGGCAGTAATTTGCAGTAATTTGCCTGCTCTTTCTAGCTTCTGATAATGGCTGAGCCCGAGCATTCTGCATCAGCTGGAGTGTCTGAATTGGTTCCATGCAATGTACAGGATTTTGATCTAGCCTAGTTTCCATGTCACTGTTGCATGGATCTTAGTGGCCTGATCAACTGTATCAAGGGAAGGGGCCATTTTTTGAGCCAGGCTGAGTGGGGAGAAAGCCTTTTTTTTTTTTTTTTGCAACTGTAGTAACTTGCTTCTCTATCAATAGGGTTGGGTCCAGCATAATTCCAAGTCACTTAACTGAGTCAGCGAGGATTAGCTGAACCCAATCGAAAGTGACAAACACAATGTATTTCAAGACCTCTCCTTTCCCAACCAGTACAACTTCTGTCTTTGCAGGGTTCAGTTCCAATTTGTTCACTCTTAGCCATTGAACCACAGGAAGCAGGTGAGGACCTCTGCCACATCCCTGCCTCCTCCTCCTCCTGTTTGCCCCCCAGCAGCCCCTGTGCCCTGACCTGGAGAGGCCCCTCTGCCCCTTCCCCTCCATTGGCTGCTTGGGCAGAGCTCTTGCCCAGCCCTTTCAGCCTATTCAGGAGCTCTCTCCAGTGGTTAAGCTCTTCCCAGTCACTTTCTCCTGGGACCCAGTTTGCCTTGAGATGCACCCACTAGAAAGATTGGTCCCCATGTACTGGGGGGTCTAGCTCATAACATCCACAGCAGATTTTTAAAGAGCCCAAAAGAGATGTTTTTCTTTCCTGAAGGACCAAACAACCATAACCTAAAAAGCTTGACACGTAGTATAACCCCTTGATGTTAACCCTGATCCGCAAACTACAATATGGACATTCCTTCTGATCCACTTAGGGGTCTCTTGTCCAGGGTCAGTGATATAACTCCTTTCTCTTTTGGTTTCTTTCTGCCCTTTTCATATCTTTTCCTCTTCATAGGGAAGTGAATAAGAGTGTCTTTCCACAGTCCGAGGCAACCCAAGAGAAAGGGAAAGGAGATGGAAGAGGAGGACCCAGAAGGCCCTGGAACTGGCAAGACATCAAGAAAACCTCCCCATCCCATCCCAGCAGGGAGTGGTGCTGAATTTTGGGAAAGAGCTCTGCCAGAGATCTTGGCTCAGGACACTATGAGCACAGATAGACGCAGTCAAATTTTCCGGCAGTTCTGTTACCACGAGGCAGATGGGCCCCGAGAGGTCTGCAGCCGGCTCCATGGACTTTGCAACGACTGGCTAAATCCCGAGAGGAACACCAAGAAGCAGATCCTGGACCTGGTGATCCTGGAGCAGTTCCTGGCTGTCCTGCCCACGGAAATGCAGTGCTGGGTCAGAGGATGCGGCCCGGAGACCAGTTCCCAGGCGGTGGCCCTGGCCGAAGGTTTCCTCCTGAGTCAGGCAGAGGAGAAGAGGCAGGCAGAGCAGGTGAGGGGTTCTCATTCACTCAGTTCAAGCAGTGACCTTATCCTAAGGCTTCCTCTCAGATATTTCTGTGTGTGTGTGTGTGTGTGTGCATGTTAACTGCCATCAATTTGCTTCTGACTTGTAGTGACCCTATGAATTAATGTCCTCCAAAACGTCCTACTGTTAAGAGCCTTCCTTGGATCTTACAAACTGAGGGCCGTGGCTTCCTTGCTTGAGTCAATCCATCCCATATTTGGTCTTCTTTTCCTTCTGCTTAAACTTTTCCTAGCATTATTGTCTTTGCCAGTGACTTGTCTTCTCGTAATGTCACCAAGATTTGATAGTCTAATTATAGTCATTTTAGCTTCTAGGGAGAGTTGAGCTTTCATTTGATGTAGAACCCACTGATTTTTCTTTTAGGTGCTCCATAGTATCAATAGAAACTCTCCTCTAATACCACAACTGGGAGCCGATTTGGTGTAGTAGTTAAGAGTGGCGGACTCCAATCTGGAGAACCGTGTTTGATGCCCCACGCCTCGACATGCAGCCAGTGGGTGACCTTGGGTCAGTGGCTGTTCTCTCAAGAGCAGTTTTCTCAGAGCTCTCTCAGCCCCATCTACCTCACGGGGTGCCTGTTGTGGGGAGAGGAAGGGAAGGAGATGGTAAACTGCTCTGACTCCGAGTAAAGGTCAGGATATAAACCCAGTTCTTCTTCTCCTCCTCCCCTCCCACCTATAGTAATGGGAACTACTGTGGCATGAATTAACTCAATCTTGGTCACCAGAGACACATCCGTACACTGGAGAATCTTTTCTAGCTCCTTCTGGGCTGCCCTTCCCAGCCTCAGTCTCCTGATTTCTTGCTCCCTGTCTCTCATTTGGTTGACGATGGAGCCGAGGAACAGACGATCTTGAGCAATTTCAAGTTCTTCATCATTAACCCTAAATTTCTGAAATTCCAGACTAGTCATTACTTTTGTCTTCTTGATGTTCAGCTTTAATTCCACTTTGGCACTTCCTGCTTTAACCTACATTAGTTGTTGTTTCGAGACTTCACTGTTCTCTGCCAGTAATGTGGTGTCAACTGCATATCTCAAATAGTTACTGTTCCTTCCACCAGCTTTCACTCCTCCTTTGTCTAAATCGAATCCACCTTTCCTTATGATATGTTCTGCATACGGATTAAAGAGAAAGGGAAATAAAATACATCATGGTCTGATACCTTTTCTAGTTTGGAAACCATTCTGTTTCTCCATTTTCCGTCCTAACACTGGCCTCTTGTTCAGAGTACAGGTTGCACATCAATGCAAACAGTTGTTGTGGCAGACTCATTTCTTTTTAAAACCAGCCATGGCTTCTCATGACCCATGGTGTTGCCATAATCTATGAAATACAAGATGATTTCCTTCTAATATTCTCTCGTATGCTCCAATAACCGACCTAAAGTTGCGATATGATCTCAAGTACCTTGTCCTGTTCTGAATCCAGCTTCAGCACCTGGCATTTCTCATTCCATGTATCGTAAGTCTTTGTTGTAGGATTTTGAGTATGACTTTACTCCCATGAGAAATTAATGTGAAGGTCCAGTAGTTGCTGCAGTCTCTGATGTCTCCTTTTGTCAGAATTGGAATGTAAAGTGAGTGTTTCCACACTGTGGGCCATTGTTTTGTTTTCCATCTTTGTTAGCATATTCTTGTTAAGATTCTGAAGGCTTCCTTTTCTGTGCCTTGGAATAGTTCTATTGATATCCCACCTACCCCTAGGTCATCTGTTTCTCCCCATTGTTCTCAGTGCAGTTTCCCCTTTACTTTCTAAAACCGTTGGTTCTTCTTCAAAATATTCTTCTGGAAAGGAATCTGTCATCCTTTCATCTCCTTAGTATAATTCCTCAGTGTACTGTTCCCATCTTTTCTTAGATATTTCTACCTGTAGATATTTCACTAGATATTTCCATTCCTCCTCTTACCTGGCTCTTGTTTCAGATGTGGGGACGACCTGTGAAGATGGAAGCAAAGTTCTCTGAGGCAGAAGGTGCTCCATCAGAGGAAAGTCAGAGGGCGCAGGCCCAGGAGGATGCCCAAGATGCCCTGTCAAGCGGTAAGGGTGCCTCCTGCCCAGATGGGATTAGGGCACCTAGTCAAGTTGTTGGGCAGACGTTTCAGGACAGGAGAAAAGGGGAATGCTTTTGCAGACTACATAGAATGGAGTTCTCAAACAGAGTGCCATAGGATGTCGTAATGGCCACTTGAATTTATAGGGGAGTAGACAGATTCATGGAGGGCAATTCCATTCTTATTTACATTAATGGATGGAAGAGTAGAGAGGCACATTTTAATTAGAGGGTTCCAATGTGGCTCAAAAAAGGAAAGGAAGAGAAATGAGGGTGCAGCTATTAGCCAAGGTGAATCAACAGAATGTCCACATTCCCCAGATGTGGATGAAAGAGGCTAGCCCAGTCTCCTCAGATCTCAGAAGCTCAGCAGGGTCAGCCCTGGTTGGTTCTCACAGAGGAGACCACCGAAGAAGTCCAGGGGTTGCTATGCAGAGGCAGGCAATGGCAGACCACCTCTGAAGGTCTCTTGCCTTGAATGACTTGTGGGTTCACCATAAGTCAGATGTGACTTCACAGCACTTTACCAACAGGAATAATAACCACCCCCCCCCCCCGCCATATTCTGGGTCAGCAGACCTCTGAAAATCCATTGCTAGGAGGCAACGATTTGGGTTCTGTGCCCCCTGCTTAAAGGCTTTCCTAAGCATCTGGCAGGCCACAGTGAGAAAAGAGGATACGGGACTAGGCATGCCAGGCCATGGCCTGGTACCCCCCCATGAGGCGTGAGGGTGGAACACGGGGTGGGTGTGATGTCATGTCGATGTCTTGACTGACCTAATGTCTGGATGTGAAGTCAGAGCATCAGCAGATGCCCTGGAAACCCATTGATGATACGCCAAAGTTTCCAGAGCCTTGGCTGATGCACTAAAAAGAATGGGGTTTGGGCTGGATTTGATGGTGATCTATCATGCAAGATGATTTCCAGTCCTCTCTTTTTCTCCTGCCAGCAGGTGGGAGAATGGCAGACCTGGGCTTTTTGGTCTGATCCAGCAAGGATGCTGCAGCCTTTGGAGCTCTAGGGTGCGCAGGGCACATTTCAAGCCTCACAGAAGTGTTGGCAGCATTTATGTCAAGGCTCATGGGCACCTGGTGCTTCCCTTCCACCTCTCTGACACCTTACTAAAAGTCATTACAAATATTCTTGAGTGTAAAGAGGACAAGGTTTCACAACCCTGGGAATGGGTGAAGCAGAATTCAAAAAAGCAAACACAAGAGGAACTTCAGGTTAACATTAATCCTTCCAATTTTCCCTCCCTTGTAGGCAGTGAAGAGATGGTGTCAACCTGTCGTCTTTTCAGAGGAATGGAAACGGCTGCTCCACCTCTGGTCCAGGTAGGGGAGGAAGATTGGGAGACAATCAGGTCCCCCCTCCTTTCTCAAGGGAGGCTTTTCGTCCTGCTGACCGAGGAGAGACACGCTCTGAACCCCACTCTCTTGACACATGCCAAACTCTTCATCCTGCACCCTCCCAGAATGCCCCTGTGGAGAGTGTAGTCTCTGCCGGGACTGATCTCTGACAAGGGGCTCTGCTTTTCCTTTCAGGCTCCCTTTTCCTTTGAGGAGGTGGCCGTGTATTTCACCGAGGCCGAGTGGGCCTTGCTGGCTCCTGGCCAAAGAGCTCTCTACAGGGAAGTCATGCTGGAGAACTACGGGAGCGTGGCCTCTCTGGGTAAAGACCTTTCATAGGTGCAAAATATGTGCCTTGCTGCCATTGGGACGATGCATTAATCAAAATATTGAACAGCAACATGCGGTTGTGAGGACTGCCTGGCTACCTCCCCCTCTCCCTGGGGGCCTTGTTGGGGTGGCAGTGAAAAGGATGGTTCAGCATGGCCAGTGTAGTGGGCATCACCCAAGCCATTCCTACAGCGGTCCCCTGGATGTCTTCAGGCCTTACTATTAGGTGGGTATGTCTGCAGGCCTTACTATTAGGTGGAGATGGGTTTGAGTGCTTTCTTTAGAGCTGTTCTACGTTGCAGGGGTGGCCTGCAGTGAGTAGTCCCACCAGTTAGCACTTCCACCCAAGGGCAAGTGGCTAATGCCAAATCACACAGTGTAGTGTGGGTGCAGGGTTCAAAAAGGACAGGACACAAAAGCTACTGAAGCTGTCTGAAGTTTTCACTCCCCAGCATTTTATTTTATATTTTTCTTCCCCCTTCTCCCTCCCTCTTCCTCCGTAAGGGAAAATTACAGGCATACGTTCAGAGCTTGGAATGTGTTGATTCCAAGCTTACAGCTCCTTATCTCCTTCGCAACTGCCAAGGCTAAATTGACTGCATCATTTAGGCAGTCACCAGACTTCTACGCACAGACTTACTACTTCCCAATTTCTAGCCAGGAGAACAGTGGATCCATCTGTACTGCCCTCCTACAACACAGCACTCTCTGTTGTGGTGACGGGAATCAATCCTCACCCCAAGAGAGTGGAATCGTGTGCTATTGAAGAGATTCCCACTGAAACTGTCAGCTCACTAAAGACAGAGTCCAGTTCTCAGTTGAAGCACAGTTTGTTTGAGCCACAGCACAATAGAGAAAGCACTGTAGCCACTCTCCGTCTCCCCAAGAGGGAAGCAACCAAATCCTTCCCAAAGGCTAAGTCCCTTCCAGCCCCTTGAGGCAGGAAACCATCTGCCAAAGAAAAGCACAAACACACAGAAAAGCCAGGAATACCTGTCCACTCAGCATGCCCCGATGCCCGAGGTTCTCTAAGGCCAGCCAGCACCTTCTCCCTCTGAGGCGGAGGACATCTGCATGGGTTATTCCCACCGTGCCAATAAGGAGGCAGGACGTAGATTTCCCCCCCCCCCTGTTGGTGCCTTTGGAATATCCCATCTCCAGTTCTGTTCCTGCCTCATAGGGAGAAGCAGCACAACTTAGCTAGTTCTACCTAACTTTAAGCTAGTTCTAGCTAACTTTAAAATCCTCTAGCCAAATTTCTTTCCCCTTCTAGCCTGCCTTGCCCTTCTTACTTGCTCTTGCCTTTTCCTTTCATCTTTCTGACTCCTTTTTTCTGCTCCGACCTCGGGGCGAAGCTGAGGAAGAGGACGTTGGCAAAAGCGGCCTCTCAAGTCGTCATGACCAGCAAAGAGCTTCCTGAGGTGTTTTCCTCAGGCGATGAGGGAGACGCGACTGCCGCATCGGCGGCGGCGCGGGACACCATCGGGGCCTATCAGCCTTCGCGGTTTGATCGTGTGTCCCCAACGGAGGCTGCGGATCGCGCGGCGGCGGCACCAGGCGCCAAGAAACGCCGCTTGCAGCCTGATGCGGATGAGCCCGCCATTTTTCCGTCGCGTCTTCGGACGGGCGGCGGCCATTTTGAGGACCCAGCCTTAGGCCTTGGCTCCTCATCGAGACCGTTCCAGGATGCCGCGGAGTGCCCAGTTCCGGGGAATCCGGACCTGCAAGGCGGTAAGCTACCGAGTAACGCGGTTATGGTGGATCCTACCGAATTAATGGAATTTATTAGACGGTCAGTGCAACTGGAGGTCTCCAAGGCAAATAAGCCTGCAGTCCCAGACCTACAGGAATTTCCTCTCCTGGGCTCCCATTCCCCTCACTCCTCGGGATGGCCAACCAAGGCGGCAAAAAAGCCCCCCCCATCCTCCTCCTCCTCACCCAAAGGAACCCATAGGCGAACCATGGAGGGAGGATCTAGATTCTACTGCCTCTTCCACTGATGGGAGAGAGGAGGGTGAATTTTTGTCTGAGGATGAGGCAGAGGAGCTTAAGCTGCCAGAACAGGCCTGCAGATTCTTTAAATCTGAGGATTATCAATATCTTCTGTCCAAGGCTGTTAAGGCTCTTGAGTTGCATGACGTACCAGCCTCTGAATACCAGAAGGCGGCCCGGGCTAAGCTTAAGTCTAAGTCTGGTGGCAATAGAGAATTTTTTCCACCTGAAGAATGTGTAGAAAAGGTGTTCCCATTTCCTGAGTACTTTGAACGCCAGTTGCGTTCGGGATGGGACAAACCTGTAGTGAACAAACAATTTCCTTCCTTTACTAAGAAATTGTATGCCATGCCTAACTACGCTGATGAGCTATTGCAGGTCTCCCCGGTTGACGCTCCTGTGGCGGCACTGCAGACGGCGGGTCTGGTTTCGGAAGACGGTCTGGGCAACATCAGAGAAGCTACAGACAAGAAGCTGGAAGCTACTCTTCGGAGGATTCACGAATCCTTCGCTATGATGGTGCGGGCGGCATCCACTGCGTCTATAGCTGCCAGGGCATCCATTGTCTGGTTGAGAAAATTGACGCAGCTGATACCAGAGGACAATCACGCACTGTTAGAGGGAATCTCCCGTACACTGAAATCTGATTCCTTCACAGCCGATGCAACCCTGG